GAAGTTGATTTTCGGTCGCTATGTACGTACATGCTGCAACTGACTAGGTGAACCAGGTTTATCCAATATTCCTGCCGGATGAATGAAGCGGAAACGGCCGGTTCTCGAGAAACGAAGTCGACGCGTGGAAGTCGTCGGCGTGGAATCGAGCAACCGCGCGTGATTCATGAAACGCGATGTTGAATATAATTTATTCGCACGTTCTAACGCAATGACTAATCGCTGCTAGTCGAACTCTCATTGGCTCACAGATACACTTGAACTTTCCGCAATGCATTCTTTCTCTGCTCGTTGCCATCTTCTGTTCTTCTTTTCTCTTTCGTTTTTTAATGGGATATAATTGGTATAATTAAATTGAATGTAGATAATATGACTATAATTAAATACAATATGAGAGTGTAATTTCGTTTGTACAGAGTCAAAAATCACGTCCTACTAAAATAGCAAGAAATAAAAGGAAATCATGTTCGAACTAAGATTTAATTTGAAATTAGTAAAATTAGCTTTTGATGTTTCATTGAAGAGAAACTTCTGGCCCATCTTGTTGGGTAAGGAATTGGAGTTTGCTGTCTGCTTTGAAACTTCCTTCGAAGTACAATAAATTCGTAGATCATTTTAAACGCGATACGAGATTTCCGACGTTTCTTTCTTTTTCCAACTTTGAAATAAATTTTAAATTCGCTGCCTCGCGATAAGCCGACACAAGGAATTATATCATCTCTTTCTGCGTTATCTCCGCGATTTTTCTTCACATTTCTGTCTTCACATTTCGCATGAATAATGCAAAGGCGTGAGCCTCGCTTGTAAATATTGTTCGTTACTATCTATACCGGCGATAGAGTTACGTTTGACAAGAGCGTCTCTTGATTACAAGCTGTTTAAAAAATCACGCGCGATAGCGTGCGCGTGATTTATCGAATCGTATTGCACACCTATGCGGTGATAGCATTGTCACATATATATATATATATATATATATATATATATATATATATATTTTACATCGAGTTCGCGAATCATCAACGGGATGAAATATGTATTGTACGCGTATTAACCGAAAAATCTGATGGGAAATTCTCGAGCTTTCTCAAATGCAACAGTCTTCTCAGCAGCGCGCTGTCCCGACAGATCGATAAATCTCTCGCTGCAGAATCGAGTACATATTGAAAGCAGTCAAGGTCTACTAGTCTATTTCTCTATTATGTTTCTACTTACGTCTCTGTCTCACGAGTCTGTTTGCTCCTGTACTGCGAATGTTCGCGCGTTTCTGGCGTTTCTGTAAAGTTGCAAGCATCTGCAAGAACGACCGGAGGATGTTCGAAGCGGAGCAGGTTTTTCTTTTGTGAAATGTAAAGAGAACACGCGTGTCGAATGATAGAAACTCGATTTTTATTTTATCTGATATTTTATATCTGAAACAGTATCTGTCGAATAAACTTTCTGCTTTCTTTAATCGCACAAAAAAATATGTGAAATTACACGAAGATCGTAACATCCTACAAAGTTGCTACGATATGACTATATAGCGAAACTTCTATTTGAAATCAATTTCTTTTCGTTCGCAAGGACATAAAATTGCACGAACATCCAAAACGACGAGACTAGCTAAAGTTAATGATTCCGTCCGTGGATCGACAACCGACTTTATACATCGAGTCGACCTGTTTTGCAAAACGTGTCTATCTCGATGGCGATATCTCGACTTATTAGTCTCGGCTCCGGTCGATCCTGCGCTCGTCGACGATGTTAATTGCCCACACCGGAACACGTTGCCACGCTCCTCTTCTCTCTCCCTTTCCTTCCACTCTC